CACTGAAACTTGATGTGTTTTTTAATATGGAGACATTGAAATTGTCTTTCCTTGTTGAATCTTTGTAAGGTTTAGGTATCAGAGTGACTGTGGCCTCATAGAATAAGTTTGGCAATGTTTCTTTTGTTTTTATTTTGTGGAATAGTTTGAGGGATATTGGTATTAGCTCTTCTTTGAAAATATGGTAGAATTCTGCACTAAAATCATCTGGTCCTGAGCTTTTTTTGTTTGTTTGCTTGCTTGTTTGTTTGTTTTCTTTTGCGGGTTGGTTTTTGTTTTTTGTTTCTTGTTTTTTTTGTTTTGTTTTGCTTTTGATTGGGAGACTTTTAATGACTGCTTCTATTTCTTTGGGGGTTATAAGTCTATTTACATTGTTTAATGATCTTCACTAACCCTACATGCATCAGAGCTGATATCTAAAATATGTAAAGAACTCAAGACATTGAACATCAATAAGCCAAACAACCCAGTTAGTAAGTGGGGTACAAAAATAAACAGAGAAATCTTGACAGAGGACTCTCTTATGTCTGAGAAGCAATTAAATAAATGTTTAATTTTCTTAGTCATCAGGAAAGTGCAGATCAAAATTACCCTGAGATTCCATCTTTCACTCATGTCAGAATGAATAAGATCAAAATCTCAAATGACAGCTCATGCTGGTGAAAATGTGGAGCAAGGGGAACACTCCTTCTTTGATGGTAGGAGTGCAAACTTGTATAGTCACTTTGAAAAATAATTTGATGATTTCTTGTTGGAGGGACCTACTGCTGAAGGTTGCAGTCCATCAGGTCTGGACAGCTCTCTGAGTTCTGCATAAAATGTAGAACTCCTTTACTCAGTGGGACTTCCTACTCTCTGCCTGACCTTATTTGGTATGTGTCCCTAGGCATTGTTGCAGGGATTATCAATATAGTTCCCTGCAAGATCAACCCCCATGCCGCCCATATGATAATGGGGTATTGTGCTTCCACACAGATGATAGGAAGGTTCTGCCTAATGCAAATGAGGCATACTGTGTTCACCTATCAACACCTATCAGCACCTATCTGCAAATAGCTGCTGCCCTCTACATATATGGTCCCCTTACCCTGGAAGAAAGTTGAGCTGTTGTGTTGAAGCTGATTCCTGTAATTTGTCATTCAATAGTACTCACAGGTTGTTAGAACCTGGTTCTTTGACTCTGCTCCCATTGGCCAACAACCCCCAAGGAAAAGGGAGAACTGCACTTTCTTAGAAAATTGAGAATAGTTCTACCTCAAGACAAAGATGTACTACTCCTGGGCATATATTCAAATGATGTTGAACAATACTACAAGGACACTTTTTCAACTATGTTCATAGAAGCTTTAGTTGTTAAAGCTAGAAAGTGGAAATAATATAGATGTCCCTTAGCTGAAGAATGAATAAAGAAAATGTAGTACATTTACACAATGGAATACTACTCAGGTATTAAAAGCAAAGACATCATGAAATTTTCAGCAAATGGATGGAACTATTAAAGATAAATTCTGAGTGAGGTAATCCAGACACAGAAAGGCAAATATGATATGTACTCATTTATAAGTGGATAATAGTCATAAAGTACAAGATAACCATGCTACAATTCACACACTCAAAGAAGCTAAGTAATAAGGAGGGATCAAGGAAGAATGCTTGAGTCTAAGTGAGAAGGGGAAAAATAGACATTAGAGGTTGAGAGAGAGAGAAAACTGGGTAGAGGAGGAGATTCAGAGGGTAATAGGCAGGACCAAGTGTTGGAGGGACTGAGGGAGAGAGAACTGGAATCAGTTTGGGGTCATCTCTGGGATGAGCTAAAAACTTAGAACAATGGAAACTCCCAGGAATCTATGAGGGTGAACCCACTAAAGACTCCTAGAAATAGAGGATATGGAACCTGAAATGGCCACCTCCTATAACCAGGCTATACTTCTAATGGAAGGATAGGGAACACAACCCAACCATAAAATCTTCAAGCTAAAATTTGCCCTACCTTCAAAAACTACAGGAACAAAGATGAAGCACTACAATGGTTGGCACCACTTGAGACCCACACCATAGGTAAGAACCAATCTCTGACACTATAAATAATGCTATTATGCTTGCAGTCAGTTAGAATACCTGTACTTTTAAAGCCTTCACCCAACAACTAATAAAGACAGATGCAGAGATCTACAGCCAAACATTAGACAGAGTTCACTGAGTCTTGTAAAAGAGTTGGCGAAAGTAGTGAGTGACCCAAGGGGATAGGGACTCTACAACAAGAGCAACAGAGTCAACTAACCTGAACCCTTGGAAGCTCCAAGAGACTGAATCATCAACTAAATGGGCTGGACCCCCCGCATGTGCACACACACACACACACACACACACACACACACACAAACACATATGTAGCAGATGTGCAGCTTGGTCTTTATCTGAGTCTACAAACAACTGGACCAGGGCTGTCTTTAACTCTGTTGACTGCCTGTGGATCCTGTTCCACTAGCTAGGGAGATATGCCTAGTGCTGCAGTGACTTGATGTACCAGGGTGGGTTAGTACCTAAGGGGGCATCTCCCTTGTCAGAGAAGAAAGGGAGGAGGGTTGGGAGAAGGGCTATATGAGGGGGTACTGGAAGGAGAAGGCTATCTAAAATTGAGAAATAAATAAATAAATAAATAAACAAACAAACAAATATATGTGTAGATGAAGATGGAGCAGAAATTGAGGGAATGGCCAACCAATGACTGGTCCACCTTGAGATACATGCCATAAGAAAGAGCCCACCCCTGACACTATTAGTAATGGCAGTTGATATGCATAGGAGGCCTCCCTTAGTCTGAGGAGAAAGGGATGGGAAGCTGAGGGAAGGGGATATAAGAGAGAAGGGTATGGAGGAGAAAAGGGAGGAGATCCTGGGATCAGAATGTAATATAAATAAATTAGTGAGTGAATGAAAAAATTAAGGACACAAGTTGCTTGAGTATATAATGGGAAATGTGAATCTGGGATGAAATGGAGAGATAACTGAAGGTACCATATATGAAGGTATCAAAGAATTAATACCATTTGAAAAACTATTGAGCATGGTATGTTTTGCCTATAATCTCAGTATGGAGAAGGTGGGGAAAGAGTATCTTTTGGGCTAGCAGAAAATCTAGCCAATCAGTGATCTCCAGTTTCAATGAGAGACCCTGTATGTGGGATATGCTCTTCTAGTTGGACTGCCTTTTCTTGCGTCAGTGGGAGAGGATGTGCCTAGCCTCACAGAGATTTGAAGTGCCAGGGTGAAAGTATACTCAGGAGAAACCTACAGGCTCAGAGCAGAAAGGGTTGCAGGGTGGGGAAAGGATTGTAGGAGTCAGTGAGTGCAATGTAAAGTGAATAATTTAAAAAATAAATTAAAAAGAAGATGGGAAAATAGCTGAGAATGAAGACACCCTTACATTGAACTCTGACCCTCATACACATATGTGTATATCATGTATACCCACTCACACACATGTATACCTACTCACACACATATGTAAACACACACACACTCCTAAAAATGTCATAGAATTCAGAAGCAATAAATCTTTCTTATCACTCTTAACATTCAGTTTGGTTCATTATGAACTCTGAATCACATTTTCCTCAAGGGGACCAGAAAAGTAAAAATCTTTGTGAGCTCCTACTGGTTATTTTGTCATTATTGACATGCATTCTCCAAGGGTTTATCCTTATGTCTGCTGCAACATGTAACTTCATTCTTAGAAGGGTCCCCAAGGAATAAAGCAATTATATTTCACTCTCTCTAATTGAGCTGAGTATGGGCACATTGCCCCTTGGGTCCTTTTGGAAGTTTGAAAACTTATAACTCATGCCAATTTTTCAGCAGTTCTAACCAAAAGTATGTTGATATATCTATCTTGCTTGAGTATTAGTTTATAATTCTTTTGCCTGCAGAAGTGTGATATGGACATCCTTAGAGGTTCCATCTGTTTTAACAACCACTATGTCATCATGAAATAAATAGAAGAATTTTACCATCATTTTCTTTTTAGCTGGAGGTATCTATTCACATCACCTAAGAGATTATATAGAAACAGGTAGAGAGAATGTGTTAAGTAATGCTCTAAGTATCTGTGTGTTTCGGTGTATATTCACAGTGTGTTACTAACTATAATTTCTATGTTTAATATAGTATGCCAGTAGCCTCAGTTGGAAATTTGTCTTGAACTGGCTTCTAAATTTTGAGATGATACCATAAAATTAAATGTACATATAACAGTTTTATTGAAAATGAGTCATACTTACTTCCTGAAAAAGAGTGGAAAATAACGCATTTTGCTTACCTTTATTTCTCAGAAGATGTTGGTGGGTTTTCTTCCAAATTTACTGCACATCCATTCAATTTTATTTGCTTTTATATTTTTTGCTGCCACAATCCAACCATAAGCAGGTGAGTTATGCCTAAATTATTGAAACAACTATAGGTTCCTATGAACAACACTGCTCTATAATTTGCTCTCCACATCAGCAGACAGCAAGTTATTTAGAAATGTGGTTACTTCATTTGTTAAACATTTTCTTGGATGCATCAATACTTTCTACTTCTCTGAGACTAGAATTCGAATATTCTAAACTGGAAAGGACTTTCATAATCTAGCTTCTCAGTAATTCTTTAACCGTATACCTTTCCAGGCTGAACACAGGCTCAAACTGCCTGATCTTCATGTGCTCCAATCCCACCGTCACCAGACACTAGTGATTCTCTTCCTTTACATCCTAATTACCTAATCTCGGGTTTCCATCATGAACTCCCAAAACAGTACTTCCCAGTTTCTCCAAAAGTCATGGGTTGATGTGCCTTGACCAGATGATCACTCCTTGTTAGTATTGCCAAACACTGTTGAGCTGGGGGTAAAGTAAACAAACAGACTGGTTTTAAAATGATGGGGAGGGAGTGTGTTACATAACAGCCACAGCTACTTCTTTTTTATGTTTCTATTTCATTCGTTTCCAGAAAAGGAAAAAATGAACTGTGTCAGAAGGAATAATCATAGTATCACATCTGAATTCATTCTCCTGGGGCTCCCTATCAACCCAGAACTGAATGGCATATACTCTGCCCTGTTCCTGGCCATGTACCTGACCACAGTACTAGGGAACCTGCTCATCATCCTGCTCATCAGGCTGGACTCTCGCCTCCACACCCCCATGTACTTCTTCCTCAGCCACTTGGCCTTCACAGACATCTCTTTCTCATCAGTCACAGCTCCAAAGATGTTTGTGAATATGCTGACACACAGTCAGTCCATCTCATATACTGGGTGCATTTCCCAGGTGTATTTTTTCCTACTTTTTGCAGATCTTGACAGCTTTCTTCTGACCTCCATGGCCTATGACAGGTATGTGGCCATCTGCCACCCTCTGCACTATACCACCATCATGAGTCAGAGTCTCTGTGTCCTACTGTTAATTGTGTCCTGGGTCTTGTCCTTTGCCAGTGCCATTTTACATACCCTTCTGCTTGCCCATCTCTCTTTCTGTGGGGGCAATACTCTGCCCCACTTCTTCTGTGACCTCTCTGCTCTGCTTAAGCTGTCTAGCTCAGACACCACCATCAATGAACTGGTTATCTTCACTGTAGGAGTGGTGATCATAACTGTGCCATTGATATGTATTCTGGTTTCTTATGGCTACATTGGGTCTACCATCCTAAGAACTCCCTCCACCAAGGGAATCTGCAAAGCCTTATCCACATGTGGCTCTCACCTCTCTGTGGTTTCTCTGTACTATGGAGCCATTATTGGGCTATACTCTTTTCCTTCACCTAATTACAGTAATGACAAGGATGTAATTGTAGCTGTGATGTATACAGTGGTCACACCCATGTTGAATCCCTTTATCTACAGTCTGAGAAATCGAGATATAAAAGGAGCACTGAGAAATATGCTCAACAGAAGAGCAAGATCACAGTGATGGGTGTGATCTCTCTTACTGACTGACATAAGGCCTCTCATACCCATTCATGTGTCTTTCCCCTTCTGAATGGCTGTAGTGAGTGTTTATTGATGAGGTTTTCTTTTTGGAGTCTGTGTTTTCCAGAATAGTTTACTTCCTGTATAATTGTTGTCAGTTTTTGAAGTCTTTGAGGAAATTTTTCTCAACATACAAATACATCACTTTTTCCTTTGCCTAGTATTCATGTTCTATAGATATTTAAAATCCTCATGTGGTCCCAGATTTTGTTCATTTTTCTTGAAGAGTTTATAACTTAAAACAAATTTTTTTTCTCAAGATAACAAAAAGTGCATTCTGAGAGGTTCACAGCTTTAGTTTTGCATTTATTTTTATAATAAACTTGGAAATAGAAGTTTAGTTTCTGTAGATTTATTTATTTTTTTATGTTTAGGAATGCTTTGTATGTCTAGCTGTATGTATATACATACATGCCTGGTCAGAAGATGTATTGTATCCCCTAGAATTGATTGGTTGTGAGCTACCATCTGGGTGCTGGAAACTGAACTTGGATTCTTTAGAAGGACAGCCATTGCTCTTAACTGCTGAGCCATCTCTCTAGCCCCATTTTTTTGCTTTTTAATTCCTCTGTTATTTTCTAATTTTACTTTTCATTTCTATTAACACATAAAACAATAGTATCCATTTGCAGGATTCCACATGATGTCTATGTAAGTACACACACTTTGGGCTACTCACACCTGGGAAAGTGTAATTCCTCAAATATTTATTACTGTGAGATGAAAATATCCAAAATTTCCCTTGTTCTCTTAAAATATATAATATGTTATTACTCTCTTTATCACATTATTAAACAGTATAACAAAGGAGTATATTTCCTCCATGGCTAGTACCCATTCACCAACATTTTCCTATTCCTATACTTTATGTTCTCCCAAGTTATTCAAATTGTTTTAGATTATTACAAGAAAACATTATTCCATGCATATTTTAATGTCTATACTAAATGCTTTCACTATAGTCTAAGGATTATGGAAAGGCACAACTTTCTCTTCCTCAAATTTAATTATCCTGGTCACAAAAGAGTTGATAAAAAGGCCAAGGTAAGGTTCCAAGTGAGGATACTGAATAAGCCTGGGTAGGATCCAGGAGCCTAGACAACCTGGAAAGAATTTAAGCAGGACTTGTGTGTGGTTTAGTCCAACTATATTTTATTATGCAGTAAAGTAAATATATTTCTATGCTTAGGCGCCATAATGTAGTTGGTTTTTTTTTCCATCAAAAAAAAATGATAAAAAAAAATGTTTCAAGTTTTTTAGAAAATGTCTCTGTGGAAGAAAACATTTCTTAAATTCACTGCTGTTAGAAGTTCAATGACAGACTTCCCCATCTCTATTATTTTATCTAGTTCTAGAAGTTTCTATAGTACAAGACATTAAAACTGAGAGGTTTCTAACCAGCCCCATCCTGCTACACTAACAATATGTGGTAGGAGTGGAATTCAAACCATTGTGTGTATGAAGTTAAATCCTAGTTTATGAATATTTTCAAAATTGCCCCAATTATCCATCTTACCAAAACTTTTACTTTTATCTTTATAAAAAATAACCTAGAAAGAAAATAATACACATAGCACATGCATATATGGATGATATTAGATTGTCCCTTATTAGTACATTTATATTTTTTACTGGTGACCACATTTTAAGCACCATAATTGAGTAGTATATTCATGTAACAATCCCTAGACTTGAGTGATTAAAGCTAACAAAACTTAGAATGATGGGCATGGGTGGAAAGACAAGTATGTATGCACACATTCTGCTGAACATTTTCAATTAGTCTAAAACTTTTCTAAACACACAGTTTAAGACTTTTGATGAGATATTCACATGTTAATTTAAGCTTCTCAATATACGCTCATGTGTTTTATTCTGTCTGTAACACAGTGCTTGATAATTAAAGAACTTAAGTATTTGCAAATGAAATTAACCACAAATTGTATCTTATTATGATTTTACTTTAAATTTCTCTGCCTGCTGATTAATAAAGGAAAGCATTTTAGCCCATGTCTATTTCTTCTTAGTACAAAGCTAGTGAGTAAAACTCTCTGAATTCCAATTTTATCACTGTTAGAGATGACTGTCTCTCATCCCACATGGCATGATGTCAGATGGCCTCAGGATGCACCTGCAATTTCTTCTAATGGTAGACCATTATCTAAGTGTCATAACCTGGTAAGAAGTGGATGTTATTTCCTGATAAGTATTTAGTTTATTTTGTATTTTTAATGTCAAGGGCATTCTGTATAACCATGGAAAACCTGCTTCTTACTATGTAGCTAAGGCTGACTTTGAACTTGGGACAATCCTTGTGCCTTATTCTACCAAGTACTGGGATTGCAGGATTGTACAACCATGCTTGGCTATTATCAGAATTTCAAGGGAACACTGATCTCTTCTATTACTAGGATCAAATTATATGTTTCCTTGGAGAAAGTTATTCCAGATAACTGAATTACCGTGTAATGAAAGCCATAGTGAGAATGTAACTGGCCTTAAGTAACTCCCTATTACAACCCTTCTTGCTACAGAATCTATTTCTGTGACATACATGGCCATGGCCTTTTGTAATGCTGTTGTCTTTTTTCTCAGTTCTCTCACAATATGTTAGCCTCACATCTATAAACATAGAAGAGCATAATTAATAATGCCAGTGGTTAATTCTGTCCCATGGAGTAGGTCTCAAGTTGGGCCAGTCATTGGTTGTTTACTCCCTCAAACTCTACTCCATCTTTAACTCTACATATCTTGCAGGCAGGGCAAATTTGAGGTTGAAGGTTTTGTGGCTGGGTTGGTGTTCCCCTCCCTCAACTAGAAGTCCTACCTGGTGACAGGAGATGACTATTCAGGATCCATATTCTCAGCTGCTAGGTGTCTCAGCAAGGGTCATGCCCATATTCTCCATGGAGCCTCCACCATCCCAAGTCCTCAGCTTGCCTCAGAGTTGTGCTCCTACAGATTCCCCTTCTTTCCCAGCCTTCTCACCCCACTCCCACTAACCCCGTTCCTCTTCCCCTCCCTATCTCCTTTCCCAAACAGTTCTCTCTCTCCATCCACTTCCAATGTCTATGTCATTTCCTCTTCTGAGTGAGATTCATGCATTCTCCCTTGGGCACTTCTCATTACTTAACTTCTTTGTGTCTGTGGATTGTAGCATGGTTATCCTGTACTTTAAAGTTAGTATCTACTGATAAGTGAGTACATACCATTTATGTCTTTCTGGATTAGGGTTACTTCACTCAAGATCATCTTAAGTTCTTGATCTAGATATTCTGAGTGGTTGAAGATAGAATCTCTGAGTTATTTTGATTTGCATTTCTCTGATGATTAAGGACATTGAACATATTTTGAAGTCTTTCTTGGCCATTAGCAATTCCCCTGTTGAGAATTCTGTTTATCTCTGTAGCCATTTTTTTAATTGGAATTCCAAATTTTTGGTGTTTGCTTGAGTATAGTCAATCCCATTGAGTTGGAGTTTTCTTCCTAGTATCTTGTATATGGCTGGATTTGTGGATAGATATTGTTCAAATTCAGGTTTGTCTTGAAATATCTTGTTTTCTCCATCTATGGTAATTGAAAGCTTTGCTGGGTATAGTCCTTTTGGCTGACATCTGGTCTATTAGAATCTCCAAGATAATAAATGAATAAATAAATAAATAAATAAATAAAAGAATCTCCAAGATATCTGCCCAATCTCTCCTGGCTGTTAGTGTCTCTACTAAAAAGTCAGGTGTAATTCTGATAAGTGCCTTTTTATGTTACTTGACCTTTTACCATACAGATTGTAATATCTTTTCATTGTTCTGCACATTTAGTCTATGTGACAGAATTTTCTTTTTTTATTGGATATTTTATTTACATTTCAGATGTTATCCCCTTACTCCATTCCCTGTCCTGCCCAGGAACCTCCTATCCCATCGTCCTTCCTCCTGCTTCTCTGCGGATGTGACCCTATCTACCCCCTCACTCCCACCTCCCCACCCTCGAATTCTTCCACACATGGTATCCAGCCTTCATGGAACCAAGGATCTCCTCTCCCACCTATGCCCTACAGGGCCATCCCCCCTTACATATACAACTGGAGCCATGGATCCCTCCCTAAGTGATCCCAGGCTTGTGGTTTAGACCCTGAGAGCTCTGATTGGTTGGTATTTTTGCTCTCCTCATGGGGCTGCAAACCCTTTCAGCTTACATAGTCTTCACTCTAACTCTTCCATTGGGAACCCCTTGATCAGTTCAATGGTTACCTGTGAACATCCACCTCTGAATATGTCAAACTCTGGCAGACCTCTAAGGACACAGCTATATCAGGTCCAATTCTTCACAGAGTTAGAAAGAGAACTTTTCAAATTCATTTGGAATAACAAAAACCCAGGATAGTGAAAACTATTCTCAACAACAAAAGAACTTCTGGAGGAATCGCCATCCCAGACCTGAAGCTGTACTACAGAGCAATAGTGATAAAAACTGCATGGTATTGATACAGAGACAGGAAGGAAGATCAATGGAATAGAACTGAAGACCCAGAAATGGACCCGCACACCTATGATCACTTGATCTTTGATAAAGGAGCTAAAATTATCTGGTAGAAAATGGACAGCATTTTCAACAAATAGTGCTGGTTCAACTGGAGGACAACATGTAGAAGAATGAAAATCAATCCATTCTTATCTCCTTGTACAAAACTCAAGTCTAAGTGGATAAAGGACCTCCACATAAAACCAGATACACTGAAACTAATAGAAGAGAAGGTGGGGAAGAACCTCAAATACTTGGGCACAGGGGAAAAGTTCCCAAACAGAACACCAATGGCTTATGCTCTAAGATCAAGAATCGACAAATGGGACTTCATAAAATTGCAAAGTTTCTGTAAGCCAAAGGACACTGTCAGTAGGACAAAATGGCAACCAACAGATTGAGCAAAGATCTTTACCAACCCTTCATCTGATAGAGGGCTAATATCCAATATATACAAAAACTCAGGAAATTAGACTCCAGAGAATCAAATAACCCTATTAAAAATGGGATATAGAGCTTAACAAAGAATTCTTAACTGAGGAAACTGTAGGAGGAGCTAAGGTGGGAGGAGTTAGGAGAGGAGGAGGAAAAAGGAAGAGGAGGAACGAGAGAGGACAGAGATGGAGGAGGATGGAAAGCCATGCAGGTATGGAGAGCAGTGCAGGTAACTACTTTTATTTAGGTTAGCTAATTGGGAAACAACTCTCTTTGTATGGGCATATTGTTACGGAGCTTTACCCAACATATAAAACCTTTGATTAATCTTTAAGCATTAGAGTCTCATTTTATCTACCGGGTCCAAGTGGATGGCAAGATGGTCTGGGCAATGCCTAGCCTTGCGTAGACAGAGTGGAAGACTGGCAGAGCCATCTCCCACACTGGCGTCTTGTGAGTGGCAGGGCTGGTGTTTCTGGCGAGGCCATTTCTAGCTGCAGTGCACACGTGGCCTCTGGCCCAGAACATGGCAGCTGAGCTAGGCAGAGCCTCCGCAGCTTAGATAGTCGGCTTGACCTGAGGCCATTTTTAAATAATTATTTCAACAGGAAACTCGAATGGCTGAGAAGCACCTAAAGAAATGTTCAGCATCTTTAGTCATCAGGGAAATGCACATCAAAACAATGCTGAGATTCCACCTTATACCAGTCCGAATGGCTAAGATCAAAAACTCAGGTGATAGTAGATGCTGAAGAAGACGTGGCGAAAGAGGAACAGTCCTCCATTGTTGGTAGGATTGCAAGATGGTGCAACCACTTTGGAAATCAGTCTGGCAGTTCCTCAGAAAATTGGACATAGCATTACCTGAGGATCTAGCTATACCACTCCTGGGCATATACCCAGAAGATGCTCTAACATATAACAGGGACGTATGCTCCATTATGTTCATAGCAGCCTTATTTATAATAGCCAGAAGCTGGAAAGAAACCAGATGTCCTTCAACAGAGGAATGGATACAAAATATGTGGTACATTTACACAATGGAATATTACTCAGCTATTAAAAACAATGAATTCAAGAAATTCTTAGGTAAATGGATGGAACTAGAAAATATCATCCTGAGTGAGGTAACCCAATCACAAAAGAACACACATGGTATTCACTCACTGACTACTGGATAGTAGCCCAGAAGCTTGAAATACACAAGATTCAACTCACAGACCACATGAAGCTCATGAAGAAGGAAGACCAAGTGAGGGCACTCTGGTCCTTCTTAGAAGGTGTAACAAAGTACTCAAGGGGGCAAATACGGAGTCAAAGTGTGGGACATAAACTGAAGGAGGGGCCATCTGGAGACCCTTCCACCTGGGTATCCATTCCATGTATGTACCATGTGTGGACATCAGGATGTGCATGCTGACAGAATTTTTTTTTAAGTTTCAATGTATTTTGTGTTCTGTAAGCTTCTTTTACATTTATAGTCATCTCTTTCTTTAGGTTGTAGATTGTGGATATTTTCTTCTATGATTTTGTTGAAAATATTTTCTGTGCCATGGGGCTGTGGGATCTTCCTATTGAGTACTTATTATTCTTAGGTTTGGTCTTTTCATTGTGTCTCAGATTTCTTGGATATTTTGTATCAGAAAGTTTTTAGATTTAACATTTTCTTTGGCTGATGTATTGATTTCTGCAATCATATCTTCTTTTTTTTTTTATTGGATGATTTATTTACATTTCCTATGTTGTCTCCTTACCCCATCCCCCACCACCCCCTCGGAACCCCCAATCCCCTCGCCCCTCCTTCTTCTTCTCTGTGGATGTAACCTCTATCTACACCCCCCCACTCCCACCTCCCCACCCTCAAAATTCCCACCCCCTGGGGCATCCAGCCTTCATGAGGTCAAGGTTCTCCTCTTCCACCTATGCCCAGCAGGGCCCTCCACTTTTACATATTCAGCTGAAGCCCTGGATCCCCCCCTAAGTGCTCCCAGGCTGGTGGTTTAGACCCTGGGAGCTGTGGTTGGTTGGTATTGTTGCTCTCCTCATGGTGCCACAAACCCTTTCAGCTCCTTCAGTCTTCACTCTAACTCCTCTATTGAGAACCCCATGATCAGTTCAATGGCTAGTTGTGAGCATCTGCCTCTGAATATGTCTGACTCTTGAAGGCCTCTGAGGAGATATCCATATCAGGCTCTTATCAGCATGCACTTCCTGTCTTCCACATCAGCATCTACCTTTGGTGATTGCACATGGGATAGATACTCAGGTGGGGTGGTCTTGAGACGGCCCCTCCTTCAGTTTCTGTCCCTCACTTTGTCTCCATATTTGCTCCCTTGAGTATTTTGTTGCTCCTTCTAAGAAGGACCGAATCACCCTCACTTGGTCTTCCTTCTTTATGGGCTTCATGTGGCCTGTGAGTTGCATCTTGGGCATTTCAAGGTTCTAGGCTAATATCCAATAATCAGTGAGTGAATACCATGTGTCTTCTTTTGTGATTGGCTTACCTCACTCAGGATGATAATTTCTAGTTCCATCCATTTACCTAGGAACCTCTCGAATTCATTGTTTTTAATAGCTGAGTAATACTCCATTGTGTAAATATACCACATTTTTTGAATCCATTCCTCAGTTGAAGGACATCTGGGTTCTTTCCAGCTCCTGGCTATTATAAATAAGGCTGCTATGAACATAGTTGAGCATATGTCCTTGGTCACAAAACAAGCCTCTACAGATACAAAAAGATTGAAATAATCCCTTGCATCTTATCAGATCACCACGGACTAAGACTGGTCTTTAATAATGACAAAAACAATGGAAAACCCACGTACGCATGGAAACTGAACAACTCTCTACTCAATGATGACTTGGTCAAGGAAGAAATAAAGAAAGAAATAAAGCAATCATATCTTCTATGCCTGAGATTCATTCTTCCATCTCTTATGTAGTCTCTAGTTCTTGTTCTCGTCCCTAGGATTGACACATCTCCAGAATTGACTTAGTTTATGTTTACTTCCTTGTTTTTATTGCCATTTTCAGATCTTGAACAGTTTTATAAATTTCCTTTACCTGTTTGATTATATTTTTCTTTATCTCTTTAATGCATTTATTCATTTCCTTTAAAAAGGTTTCTATCATCCTTATAATATTGAATTTAAGGTTAACTTCTTGTGGTCCAACTGTGTCAGGATATAAAGGAGTTTCCATAATAGAATAATTGGGCTCTATTGGTGCCATATTGCCCTGGATCTTCTTGATTTTGCTCCTACCCTGGCCTTTAGCCATATGGTTGTCCCTGGTGTTGACTCGATGTTCCTCATGCCAACACAACCTCTTTGGGAGGCAGGCAGAGACAGAGCCTAACAATAAATTTCATGGAAGAGTACACGAATAACTTCTGTTGTTTGCTCCCCAGATGGAACTGAATGTTCTTGGGGTCCTGCACACCTCTTAGGGAAGGGAGCCATGTCCCTGATAATGGAGGGTTCGAGCCAGAGTGCAGCTCAACTCTGCTGTCTGTGCCCTAGGTAGATCCAA